GCCCTTCACGCAGGTCCGTTCAGTGGATGGGAAGGTTTCACTTCCACAACTCCAAATGGGAAAGCTAACTATTACCACTGCCAGGCATGTCACCTGTTTGCTTGTCAGACAGTCATCTCTCTCCTCAAGGCTCACACACCATCCAGTTCTTGCAAATCCGTAACACGTTTTCTACACTATTGAGTTTGGCTGGATTCAGACCAGAGACTTACATGTAAAAGACTAAAAACAGAAGGAGGCACTGTTCTACCAGAAATTTATTTAGCAATCAATCAGGTGGAAAACTTGGCTTCAGGGAAAAAAAGAGTTAGATACCAGAAAGAGATGAGAAAGTCAGTCCTGGATAAAAGTAGTTCTAATTTTTAACATAAATGAAAGCATTATTAAAGGTTTGTATATGAGTCATGCCAACTTCTATATAGATGAGAAATGTAATGAAATGGTATCTAAGTCATTATAAATTTTGCTATTTACACAAAAGAGGAAAAAGAATGTTTCCTACTTCATTTTTCAGGTTTTCCTTCATATCTTGCATACTTATTAAAATGTAGGGTTTCAAGGACCCATAGAAAAAATACAAACGTGCAGAGAGAATAATCACTAGAAAGAAAAAAAAGCAACCAAGTCCTATAACTGGATTTAAAATAATTCAGTCTTGTCTAAAGAGTCAAATCATGTTCTTTTTCCTCCCTACATAAAAGTTGCACTCATATTCATAACAATAGAAGAAGAAAAGCACAGTTGCTTCATAACACTGGACATAGCTTTCCAGAAACAAGATAGCAACTACTCAGAAATGCTATGGAAAACATTAATCACAGAGTAACTTGCTATTTACATTAAAGATAGTAGCCTTTAAAATTAATTTAAAACAAAAGCAAAAAATCTCCCATTTTTCAGTCATAGGACAGTTTTGTCTGTAATGTGGAGTCTCTGTTCTTTGCTTTTGTCCAGCATTTCTTTCAAGATATATATCTATATACACAGATATATGTCTGAGAGATGTATCAAAAGCTAAAACATGTCTGGATGGAGAGCCTGCAAATTTCATCCAAGACTACATTTGCAATAGACAAACCCCCACAGAAAAAAAAATTGCTGGAATGACACATTTTAATGAAATGACATTCCCTGTCCATGATCCGCACAGGATCCATGTAGAAACATAAATGCCTCAGTCCATAGAAGCGGAGTCGACGGTGGCAGCGCAGGTTCCCCGCTGCCACCAGGCTGAAGCATCCCAGTCCTCGTGGGATGTGGTGGTTTCCATCCCCGCAGAGGCTGCCGGGATGGGCGTAGAGCAGTGGTGACGTGGAAAGCTGTCACCCTCCGCGTGGATGACAGATGGGACCCAAGTCCCTTGGCAGTCACTGGAAGCCACTCCGGTCGATGCCAGCGGGAGCTTGGACGAAGCCTTGGGGCAGCAGCATGGCTCCGAGGAGGGGGGCGCAGGAGGAGGCACCACCGACTCTCCGATCCAATCCCAGCACTACCACTGCATCGCCCGACGGGCTCTCAGTTCTCACTAGGATCTACAAAACAAGTCACTGCGGTCATGCTTCTTCCACAGGACAACGGCCAGACCGGACAGGAACTGTTGAGCGCCACAGCGCTTGTTATTCTTACACATGCAGGATGCTAGTAGGCAACCAGTCCCAATTTCTTACTCAGAACCAGGCAAATCCAGCCGGAGGATGTGCCCTTTACCAGAGGGAAGACTGTCTACTTCCAGTAGTCAGCAGTCGGCTGCCCAGTCTCCATCGTAACTTGCTGAAACCAGTGCAAATTCCCAGGAAAAAGAATGTCCGCATCGAGAGGGTATAAATCCTTCCTTACATAAGAGAATGGTACAAGCATTTACCCGGCATCTCTATCAAATATCGTAGAAAAGGTTACACAAAAATATTTAAATATATGGATACAGATACATAGATATTACACTTGCATAAAATATGTATATTCAAAACCCTTTGGGCAGTTTCACAGTTAGCTGAAATTGTATGCTTTAGAAACATGAACAATTTCCTACACTTTTCTAGTTTAAGTAGGAGGGGGGAAGGGAAAGAAGCATCAGCCTTATTAATACTGAATGCTAAGTGCAGAAGTTTAGCTGTAGCTGTAGGGTTTTGAAGCAATTGATTTGACAGAACCTCCAAGCATAAACTCTGTTTTAAAAATCCACATCTATTCCCTAGATTGCTTATTGTTTCATGAAAATGAAAACCTGCGTGTCCTGCTTGTATCAGCTAGATCTCCTGAGACCATTCAATTAAACCTCATAATACCTGCAATACTTCAAGATAGGATTGTGTATTGGGAGTATGCACGAACCTTATTGCAGTATTTTCATGTGATAATAGGAATTTATAACTTCTCGTATCTTGTACAATTTAACTTTAGAAATAAAAAAACCCTTAAATGACACCACAAGAAGCTCACAGTTCTGAGAAAATTAAAGTCAGTATGAAATTTTACTTATAGACCACATAATTTACACAGATTTACATAAATACAGAGATATTAAAATATTAAATCAAAGCTAATTAACAGAGGATAGAGTTTTACATGATAACATATTTTAATCCTAGTTACATTTTTGCAACTACTTTTTAGTGTCATGAGATTATATAAATAATATATATACCTGTATATCCATAATATATATAAAGATATATATATCTATCTCTCCATCCTTCTTTTTTTCTTCAAAAATAGGGCAATTTTATAACTGCAATGAGATGTGACAAGCAGTACACTTCTGGGGAATTATTGCATGCCTTGAGTGCATAAGGCAGAAGGAAGAGTATCTGACTTCAGACACTAAAGAAGTGGAATCATCAACCAGAAATGCACTGGAGTGATTTGGAACATCTTATTGCTTTTATAAAACTTGAAATTATACACTGTTGGTTGGGGTTTTTTTTGTTTTTGTTTTAAAGGCACAAAATAAAGGGGAAAGTAATATCTCTCTATTTAGTGGAGATCAACAATCAGGAAGCTCTGTTACTGTTCACTGAACACACTTCATTGTCCTAAATCTATTCCCTGTGGTGCAATACTGTGCCGCAGTTGCATAAGGAGGTTAAACACAAAAGTTCATGCATCCTTTACTAGGGGAAACAAAACAAAGCCAACTGCCTTGCCCAGCAACAACGAAGTAGCCATTAGCATCCCATCATACCGGCTGGGGGATCGCTCCCATCAAACCGCAAACCACCACTCGGTCGCAGGTACACTTGCCATGCTAACCTTAGCTGGTTGAGTAGCTCCTTGAGCGGGGTGATACCGTACTTGCCTAAAATGCTGGAGGTACCGATCCAAACTCAACAGCAATTTCCCATCAGACCAGGCAAGATTGGAAAGGGATAAAACTGGGTAACAGAAACACTGCCCTGAAACCTCCGCATTTTGGGGCTATTAGAGGATTATGGAGCGCTTCTGCCACCCTCTTCCCCCATTTTAAATTGACTAATGGCATTCATTCCCGGCTTAGGGCCCCAGACCTCCCGGTGTGTGTGCCTGGGATTTTTCTAGCCTAACAGCCACGCTGGGAGGCAGAGTACAGCAGAGAGCGAATAAGTGGATACAAAATATTAAAAACTGTGGACTATTACTATCTCCTCAGATCACGTTGAATGCCAGGATAGAAAGAAAGAAAAAAAAAAAGGAAAAAAAAAAAAAAGAAGAAATCCCTTGGGATCACTTTTTCTTGGCTGTATTTTTCAGATGTTAATATGCACAGTAGAGGGCTGCCTCTGCTACGATACCACACAAGATGTTTCAAAGTTTGGATATGGCACTCTGTTAAGGCACCTTCAAGTAATGGTCATTGATTTAATCACTAAGCAAAGCCGCATTTTCTGTACCCGACGCTGCTTCCTCCAACACACACGGTACGAGCAGCCACTCACACCTGCCATCCACACACGAAAAACTCCTGGTGCTTGCTAGAGAGAAACTATACCAGCCACTTCTGAAATACGTATTTGCCAGGGTTTAGGAGAGGACATTTTGCACAACTGCATGGTTTTTTCCCCCCGAGAGGGGAAAGGGGAGAAAATTAAGCGCTGTCTGTCCCTAACTGTCTACTAGATTAGGAGGGTTAAAAATATATATCAGCCTAAAAAAGTAGAAGCCAGCTCTGTACTGCTGCAGGATTCCTTGCTGGGAGGCGAAGCTGTAAAGGCAGGCGTTCAGTGCGGGGTGCCTGGTGCAGAACTGGATTTGTTTCAGGACCAACAGGAGGTACAAGGACAACCTCCCCTGGGAGAAGACGGGCAAGTTACTGCACATCACCTCGCCCTGCCACACAAAACGGTACTGGGTTTGGGGTTCAGGTGGCACGGCATGGGGATGGGGATGGGGGGGTGCATTTGAAGATGAAGGGAGCTGAAGGGAGAGGAAAGCTCAGGCATTACTCTGTGCAGACAGCTGGCCCCGTCCCCCCAGACAGGGGGACACTCAGTGCTGCAGCTGGGGGGCATGGGGCTGGGGGGCCGGAGGGCACCTGCAGTTAAGCCCAACTAGGGGTGGCCATTTCTACACCAAACAATACCCAGTCCTGGAAAGGAGCGAGAGGGGTGGGACAGGGGCATAGGTCCTAGCACAAAAGGAGAGATCAGGGTGGACTGTCGCCCGGCTCCGCGGGGACAGGGGATCCCAAGGCACCCGCCAGACCTGCCTCTCACCCCACGCCACTCACCCACGCCCCAACCCACACCATGCAATGGTGACACAGGGTGCAGTGGGAATCCCGAGAGAGTGGGATTGTCCTGGTCCTCGGGGTAATGATGTCCAGGGAAAAGGGACCCCCCCACCCCGACCCTCTCCTTCAGGTGGACAACTTGATATTTGGTAGCTGTGTGCAGCTCCTCCTCCAGTAAAAAGACGCATCCTTTCCTCGCACAGTCAATGAGAAACGCAATGTGATCTGTCATGCGCTTGGATCATGGGCTTGTTCGTTCATTTGAATTAGCAATGTTTTCTTCTTCTTCGGGGACTAGAATAATCACTCAGGTATTTACAAACACCAACCAGCGCCTTCGTGAGGTCTCCCCCAAACCATCATGACAAAATCACCGTCTGCAGGAGCCCCACACCAGCTGTGTCCAAACAAGCTCGTGCTTGCTGAGAGCTCGGGGCTGCCGAGGGAGAGGGGCGCTGGATCTCCGAGTCCTGGGGGGGTCTTCCCAGCCGGCTGTCTCTTCCTTGGGGTGCCTCTCCCTGCCCCGCCGCCCCAGGGTGCTGGCTGCTGCTATTGCTGCTGCTGCGGGTGCAGTGGTCCCGTTCATACTCCTCCTGAGCCTTTTGCATTTTCCGCTTTTTCATCTTCCTCTTGTGGATGTGGAAGGTGGTGAGAGAGAGAAGGATCAGGCAGAAGATGAGGGTGACCAGGACAATTAAAACCAGGGTGGATGAGAAGGACTGGAAGAGTTGACCCACTTGCGCGATGCAGGTGCTGCTGGTGTTTAAGGTAGCAGATGTCCTGTTCAGCAGACAAGGTGGCAGGGACAGCCTCAACTCCTTGGAGAGCTTGGCACTCATTGAGGAGGCTTCGGAAGATGAGGATCTTCCTCCCCTCTCTGAAGACGCCTAAATTTCAATCGGTGCCGGGCTGCTGGCGGCCGCTCGCTGG